TGATCCTTCTTTTCCCTTTTGGCCAATTCATTGAGGTTACTTCTGGACTCCCGTAAGTAACAATTATTCTTGGCTCTAGATCCCCTCATGACTTCTTCACCTTCATCATTGGAGACAACACATTTATCCTTGGTAAATTGGACCTTTAGGCCTTGATCACATAGCTGACTGATGCTTATTAGATTTACAGTCAGTCCTTTAACCAGCAAGACATTCCTTAGTTCTGGACCTTCAGGACTGTCTAGTTGTCCAGCAACTGTGATTTCTCCTCTAGCACCATCTCCAAATGTTACATGCCTTGAGGAATGAGGTTTTATGTTTACCAAAACATTCTCTACCCCAATCATGTGTCTAGAGCAACCACTATCAAAATACCAATCCTTTTTGGTAGGCATCCTTAGAGAGGAGTGAGCTACTAGAGCCACATTCTTAGCAACCCATTGTCTCTTCTTGATGGGAGTTTCCTTCTTGGATTTAGCATGATACAATTTCTTGACATGAGCACCCTGTTTGGATTTTCCCTGATGAGGGTGACTAGAAAATCCATGTAGCCAGAAGCAAACTGATTTAATATGTCCAAGTTTTCCACAGTGGCAACACTTATACCCTTGGAATTTACTCTTGACTTGGTTCAAGTTCCCGTTTCTCTGATGTTGTGACGTTGGTTGTGACATCCCTTTTTCTTCTGAGTTTCAGGTTTTAGTCTCTTGAGCTTCAAGATGGGATTCTGTTTACTAACAAATCCTAGTCCAGACCTATTTCCTGATGTCTGACCACTCTGTAGGATTTCTTCTAGAGTGTCAGTCCCAGGGTTTAGCATCCTTATGGATTTTTCCATCTGCTCCATTTTGGATTCCAACAAGTTGACCTCACTTTTGAGTGAGTCTATTGTTGCTAGCTGCTCCATCTTATCAGCTTCTAACTCCCTTATGAGTTTCTTTTGTTGCTTTCCTTGCTGATATAATTCTCCACTTCTATTGCATAGCTTCTTAAATGAATCAACAAGTTCATCATAAGTCAGCTCATCTTCACTTTAATCACCACCAGATATGCATACACTGTTCAGAGCAGTGACATGCTTAGCACACTCTTCTTCTGATCCACTTTCTGAATCTCCATCTGACCAGGTGACTGCCAATCCCTTCTTTTGCTTTTTAAGATAGGTGGGACACTTAGTTTTAATGTGACCATATCCTTCACATTCATAACACTGTACTCCTTTGCCTTGACTAGATTTATCTTCAAATTTATCCCTTCTGTTCTTGGCATAAGATTTAGACTTATGGTCTATTCTCTTGATCAGTTTATGAAATTGTTTTCCAAGCAATGCTATAGCCTCTAATAGATTCTCCTCTTTTTCACATTTGTCTTCTTCTGAGTCATCTGCAGTGTTTGAAACAAGAACTATTCTTTTGTTCTTTTTCTCCACAGTCTGATCACACATGCCCATCTCAAATGTTTGGAGAGAACCTATGAGTTCATCTACCTTCATGTTGCATATATCTTGAGCTTCTTCAATGGCTGTCACCTTCATGGCAAACCTCTTAGGCAATGATCTTAAGATCTTCCTCACTAGCTTTTCTTCAGACATCTTTTCTCCCAGAGCTCCTGAGGTGTTTGCAATTTCAAGGATATTCATGTAGAACTCATGAATAGTCTCATCCTCCTTCATTCTCAGACTTTCAAACTTGGTGGTCAACATTTGAAGTCTTGACATCTTGACTTTAGAGGTTCCCTCATGAGTTGTTTTGAGAGTATCCCAAACCTCTTTAGCCAGCTTACAATGATGCACCAGTATGAAGATGTTATTGTCTATACCATTGAATAATGCATTCAAAGCTTTAGAATTCCCAAGAGCCAAGGCTTCTTGCTCTTTGGTCTATTCTTCTTCAGGTATAAGCACAGACAATTCATCTTTATCAGTCTTCACTGGATGTGCCCATCCTGAGTTTGCAGCTCTCCATGCCTTGCTGTCTAAAGACTTTAAGAAGGAAATCATCCTAGGTTTCCAATAGTCATAATTAGAGTCATCCATAATTGGTGGTCTATTTGTGAATCCTATGTCTTTATCCATAGTACCAGAATTTATCTTCCCTAGATATCACCCAGAAGTTAACAGGCAGGGTGCCTTCTCTGATGCCAATTGAAATTCTGGCAAGCACACGATGGATGTTATTGTAGATGTTATGACATCCACTGTAAAATGTACTACTGCACTTAATAATAAGTTGTAAATGGAAAGCAGTAAATAACACAAGTAATTGTTCACCCAGTTCAGTTTCAACCACACTTACATCTGGGTTCTACCAAGCCAGGGAGGAAATTCACTATAAGTAGAATTAATTCAGAGTCAAACAATCCCAGTTTGCACTCCTCACTTAAGACATACCCAATGACACTTCTGCCTAGAGACCACTAGACCTGAGTATACCCACTCACTCCCCCTCAATCACCTCAGTGATATCAATACACAATTACAAAACCAATATGAAGATAAACTTCAAACACACCTTGATCTTGCTTCACAACTTTGATCAAGGGACACATACTCTTGCTTAACAACTTTGAGTGACACAATGAACACACTTGTTCATACACAATAACCACAGCAATTCTACAACATACAATTTTTTGGCACACAAGGAATCCTAAAACTCCTAGACTCACGTGAAGAACAAAGTTCTTCACTCATAAACACACTCTATGATCCCTCACTAGATGCTCTCTCCTCTGTGTGTCTACCCATTAGGAATGCTCCTTCTGCTATTTATAATAGCAGACCTGCTTTGGGCCTTGGTAGAGAATTTAGGTTTACCCAAGATAACCTTTTTTCATGAAGCTGCGCACTTATCATTAGGTCAGGAGCCTTCAATGTTATCCTCAGCAATTCCTGTTATGTTGCCTAAAATAACTATGCTTCCTGAATTGTTTCCTGAAGTATAGCATGAGCTAATAATAGAAAAACAAACCCTGCGCGCCCTGATGTCATACGATCAATGTCATAACATTCAGTCATGACATTCAGCTTCACTTACTCTCAGCTTTCCCTGCATAACACTCTTCATATATGTCCTAACATCAGTTATAACATTTACTCATACATTAATATTATGTCATAAAATGAAGCCAATTAAAAGCATCTACACATATAAATAAGTAGCACCTTCACCACGGTTGACAACAAGAATTGTGATTAAATGATTGAAACTTACACCACGATTGATTATAAAAATTGTGGTGATATATAAGGTCAATCCCATTATTATCACGATAGATGGAAATATTTTGGTGCTTGGATTCGAACCATTTCACTCAAGATATATTTCACTAAGGTTGTTACATATGACCACCGTGACATGCCCTTTAGTGAATATAAAAAAAAGCGTCCAAAAATAAACTATTACCACGGTTAACACAAAGACCGTTAAAATTAGTGTTGCGAAAGATCTATTTTATAGTAGTGACTAAATGTTTTATTATAAGAGATTACATAAGTACGAATCATCAAAAAATATGAGGAGATTGAGGAAGATTAAAAAAAGTGAGAAAAAACTTTTATAATATCACAGATGCTAATAAAAAGAATACAATAACCCCATGATTCTCATATATTTTTATAAGATATTTTTATAAGAAAGGTGAACTGTGCAATCTTTAACATTGAAAAATGCAAACCGCATCACCAACACTAAAGATTTTAACACACACTATTAAAAATTCTCACAAAAGCCCTAATGCTAGAAAGAATCACTATCATCGGACATAAGGTCACATGTTAAGATGTAACTGCAAGACATTGCTAATAAAGAGAAAAGAATGTAATTCACTTTCTTCTAAATACATCAACCCCATCAAAGACTCTTTCGCTCCCTTCCACCAAAGTTCGAACTCAAGAAAAATCCAATAAAACCCTCGCTCTACGACGTAAGAACAAGGGTTTATGAGACAATTGTTTTGGACTGTCCACAAGACCCACGAAGGTCCAATAACAAGTGTTGAAAGGGAATTCACATTGAAGATGTGAAATTTCATCTCTATCTAAGACACATGATTACGCCCTCCATCATATCCCTCATCGTTGATATTGAATCGAACAACAATCCACACAAGGCGCCAAACCACACGCGGGCCATTCTAACTACCTATACTATATAAATGTGATATCGTGCAATTTCATATATTCAATTCATTCTTACTTTCATGCTGATTTTTACTCAGTAATTAACTTGAGCGTTAGAATGTTAATTTTGCAGGTCCACACTCTCTCCACCTTATTGAAAACTTGCTTCACCGCTTCGAGATTTCATTCCACCACTCTAGTACTCGACCGAACCAGAACGAAAGTTGTAAGTTCTGTCACATGTATAAATGGCTCTACCAATATTTCAGTGTTACACATTTTTATGTTAGTTTTCCTAACTCAGTTATGCGTCACGCCTTACACCATCCTATTTACGTTCTTCATGGGCATGCAGTTTCTGTTTTTGCTACTCTCATAATCATGCATGTCTCGATTGTATCGAAATCCTTCAAATACTTTAAAGTTGAGTTTATGTTAATGGTCAAAGTCACAATATATTAAATAACAATAATGAAATTCAAACTAGTAATTTAATCTTTTGAAACTATATATGTTGGCACCTTCAACAATTTCAATGAACTTACCTTTATACTTTAATTAAACGACACATACACTACCTAACCCAGTAACCCTGAATTGAATTCATAGTAATATTTATGTGCCCAAAAAAATAATAATCTCTCCATAGATGAAAAATGCCAAAATAGTCTCTTACTAGCTAGGTTGCTTCTTTGACACTGCTTCCTCAATTACCAATTGATATACGTGTTGATTTTTTAAAAAAATTAATAAAAAAATGTTGGTATCATTTGGTTTTACATCTATAAAACCATACATATATAATATGCAACCTATGCTAAGTTCCTATAACCTATAGTTTTAATTTGTCTTGGAACATTGATTCATATTCTGCAATATCATGGGTAGGTCACCATGTTGTGATGAAATTGGTGTGAAGAAAGGGCCATGGACAGAAGAAGAAGATGAGAAGCTGGTTGATTATATCAACAAACATGGCCATGGAAATTGGGGAACACTTTCAAAACGTGCTGGTTTGAATAGGTGTGGGAAGAGTTGTAGGTTAAGGTGGACAAATTATTTGAGACCTGATATTAAGAGAGGAAAATTCACTGAGGAAGAAGAAAGAATCATCATCAACCTTCATTCAGTACTCGGAAACAAGTATATATGAGCGTCTTTGTGTTGATATTTATAAATCAACAATTTTTATTAAAAAAAAACATCTTTAACCTATTAATGCGATGTTTATTTCTTTTTTTGTGTGTGTGCAGGTGGTCTAAGATTGCAGCTCATCTTCCGGGACGAACAGATAACGAGATAAAGAATTTTTGGAACACAAATATAAGAAAAAAGCTTTTGAAAATGGGAATTGACCCTGAAACTCATAAGCCAAGAACTGATTATAATCACCTCATGAGTATTTCCAACTTACTTGGAATGTCAAATATAGGCAATAGTTTTAGCAACAACCCTATTGGTTTTCAGCCAGATATTACTCACATAGCCAAAATGCAATTGTTGCAAAACATGTTACAAATTATGAACACCAATAATTCATTTGCTATGAACCCTTATAGCTCTTTAGGAAATATTATTCCTAATCTTAATCCATTCAATGTATTTTTGAATGGAGCAAACACAGCTCAAACTAAGGAGCCATTAGGTTTTAATAATGGTGGTGAAGAATATGCTATGAACCCTAGTTTATACTCTCATGGACTAATAAGTGAGTTTCCTAAGCAACATATTTCAAATGGTGGATCAAATTTACAAAATCTTGATTATAGCAAAATGAGAAGCAATAATCAAGAAGAAAATCCACTTCCTGCTTTGGTTGCTTCCTGTCCTAAAACACCTTTTAATCAAATGGAAAGTGATTGTAACAAAACTCATATGTCCATTCAATCACCTTCAAACATAGTCTTTGATGATTGGGAGAAGTTCATTGATGAATCAAGTGACTCATACTGGAAAGAGCTTTTAGAGTAAGCCTCTATTCTCACTATTTTTGTCTTTCTCTTTTTTTCAATCACTAATTTAATACTATTTTTTCCAAAATTTTCTCACTAATTTAATTATTTCTAATAATTTTAAATTATGATTACTGTAATGCATACAGTTAAAATTGTGGTTGTGATCTTTATCTACCTCAAAAATTTTAAACAATAAACTACAATTTAAAACCATAAATTATATATTTATATATATATATATATATATATATATATATATATATATATATATATATATATATATATATATATATATATATATATATATATATATATATATATATATATATATATATATATATATATGAAAGAATTTTTTTATTGTCTTATTAAATCCTGATATATTTTAATTTTCTCTTCATTTTGCAGTTTGACATGCACTTCTCCATCAAAAATTCCATGGTAGAGAAGAATCATTGATTATCTTTGAGGAAAGTCCCATCAACACATACTCAAAGAAATTCGTATATTTTGATTCATTAATTCAGATATAGCTTTTTATATTGTGTAGATTCATTTGTAAGTTTATAATTGGGATGTAATAATTATGATTACTGTATTTTATGTTGTACAAAACCAAAAGACACACATGCATCAATACTTTTGTTTGGAAAGTTACATATCATATATCTCTTAGTTATATCTTTTATATTGCATCAAATAAATTTGGCTAATAAATTTTTGTAATAATTATTGCAATTCTAAATATTTTTTGATCTAATGATACTCAAAGTTATTATTATTATAGTTTCCTTGCCGTGTTAAAATGTGAGAAATCTAAAATCGTTAATGAATCCATATAGTTAAGTATTTGACTTGTGCTATATATGTAACATATAAGTCAACTTTGTCGCAACAATTTCTCGCCGGCTAAAGAAATTTTGTACTATACAAAAACAACTATCACATCAAATGATGAGTTAATATATATAAGCATAAATTAGAAGCTAGCTAATCCGTTAAAAACATAAGATATATTTTCATTGGAATTGCAATATGTGTCCAGATTCCTGACCTTATGTTAGGTTAGGTTGTTTACGTTAGGAACAAGTTAAAAAAATAGAGTAAAAGATGCAAGAGGCCATAGATAATGCAACTGCCTCATTGAGATATTGGTTTAGGTAGGAGAGATGATGCAATTGATTGTGATTAATCAAGGGCACAACACAAGTTATCTTCCCTTTTAATTTTGTTTCTAGAATAATCGTGACCTTAATACATTGTCTAGCTGGTTGAGGCATTAAAACAAAAATTGTTGGTTTCTTTTAAAATTTATTTTTGTTGAGAAAAATAATTTGGTAGGAGATTGGATCATCTCCAAACTTTATATAGAAAATTTGGGATTCTCTTGTATTAGAGAAATTCAAATCGAATGATCACAAAAACATCACCAAAGTGTTCATATGCAAAACCCTTTCAAGTAATATGAAAGAGAAAGAGAATGCACTTCGTTGTTACTTGAGCTTAACTTGTCACTCTATTATTATATGTTGAGCTTAACTAATATATAATTATTCACCATTCATCAAAGCAAGTATTAAAGATGTTATAAAATTGATAGAATAATTAATACTCTTTTAAAAAAAATTATTTAGGGTTGAATCACACATTAAAAAAATTTTAAAAATTGATGTGTTTGAACAAAGAACAATAGCAATCAAACAAATGACATTCCGGAATAATAACTTTTAATGCAACAAAAAGGTGAATTAACTTGAAAGAAGAAGATATAAAAAAGGGAAGAAACATGCAAGGTTTATTTATCTAGTTCGATCAAATAATCTACGAAAATAGTAGTTTTTCAATTTACTATACTCCAAAAATTGTTGCAAGAGATTACAATTGAGTTACAAGAAAATAGTCTTCCAAATTCTTAAGAACAAACCATATTTTCTACCCTAATGTTTACCAACCTCTACAAATTTTAATATAGTAATCACAAAAATCCAAGGTGTTTAAAAGTATTGTCCGATCCTTCTAGATAAATCCAAAGGTTTTCCTAAACCTTAAACCCTTATTTCTCCCTTCAGCCATAAAGTTTTCAAGGTTTTCACCAACACAATAACAAAAAAAAAATACATATTTATAATTACTAAAGCCCAACATATTCATAATAAAGTCCAAAACATAACCCATTAACAAATGGATCCATGAACCAAATCGAAAAAGTCCTAAAACACGCAACCTGAGAAAACTGGTTGGATGATTGAAAAAACTCGGACAGTATACGAACCGACTCCAGCCATCCCCCGTTGTCGCACGGACCACCGCCACCGACATGCATACCTCCGCGCACCGCCGCCCGCCAACCCGCGATCGTGCCCCCACTAGTGACCCTCTGTTTAAGCTTCGCAATCCACCGTCACCTCGCAACTTTGACACTTTTGTCTCCAATTTTGAACCTCTGAATTTCTGGATGACTTTCTAAAATTTAGGATTTTTTTAGTTTATGCAATCTTCAAATATGTTTTGTTTCTCTTTACCTCTTAAGATTTTAAAGCATACTTCAACAATCTCCACCTTGACTTTAAACTGTGGTAATATCAATTTAACCATCAACCACCTTGATGATATGTTGTATGTTGAAACATTATTTAAAAACCTTGATCAAGTTCAAACCGTCATTGAATCTTGATGTCTACACTTGCATCCACTTGTTTTCAATCACCTTCTTCTCTCTAGGTAATCTATCTAGCCCACAAGCATGGTTTTTCAACCATCATTAAATCCATCGACTTTCAAATGCCTCCATGAAGGTCCTTGATTCTGAATTTTGCAACCCTTCATCCATATTCAAAGCATAACATCCAAGACTAGCATTATTGTCCCTTTAAGATGCTACAATCTTCCTCCTTACCTTATCACGAGTCAAATGATAATCAGAGACATTTGTAGTCGTTCCATCACTACTAGTAGTATCCATAATAGAAAACTCCACCTCAAACTGAGATTTATCCTCCATAGTTTCTAAAAGCTTTATCCCTTGGTTATTACTCATTTTCCCCTGAAGGGACTCTCTGCCAACCAAGTAAGTCATTTGGCATCAGTCTTATCCCAAAAACTAAATGACAACCCAACGGTCTCATGCGTTTTTGTCTCTTGTCTTTTGTAAAATTTATTAAAGTGTTATAAAACAACTTCCAAGTAATCATCATGCATTGACCTTAAATCACATAGCTTATTCTTATCATGAAAGTCTTCACTAGTTGATAATGAATAAAAAATAGCATTCGAACCTTCTAAAATATATATACCACATATTTTAGACCCTTTAGCTATGACCACTTCATCATACGAAATCTTCAACATCCAATGTTCAACTCTATTACAATAGCCTAGATCATCAAACATGCTTATGGATAATAAATTTCGCCCAAGTTCTGAAACATACCTGACATTGTGAAGAAGAAACTCACGATCATCAAACATTTTAAGTCTGACAATACCAATATCATGAACCTTACAAGCCTTATTGTCACCAACGAGAACTACTCCACCTTTTCCCAACTTCAATGTCTCAAAGAATTCTTTTCTTTGACACATGTGATAAGAACAACAAGAGTATAATACTTTTTACCAGTGTTTTTAGTAAACAATCATGATTTTGAAAGTTTGTGAAATTAACTCGAAAAATATCCAAAGCAACTTGTGCAAATAATATGTGTGAACACACGTGCGTGTGAATTGAACACAGTCATCACATAAACGATAACATCGTAGAAAAAGACATTAAATGAAGTTAAGTTGTGATAAATGATAAGGTAAAATGCGATAAATGACATTAAACAAAGCAAAGTTAAAATTAAATGTTTTGTTTAAGGAAGAAAAAAGACTAATAAAAAGGAGTGGATGCAGACACATACATGTTTCTCGTTCAACTATTTCTCTATTTTACTCGGGTACTCCAGTGGTATAGAGAGTATGTATGAAACTTTTAGACCTTTAGTCCGATGCATGAGTCTGCTATTTATTATATTTACAAAGTAACTTTGACAATGGTTATGACCGCTAAGGAACCCCTGCGTTCATCCCATGTTCAATCTTTAAGTTCCAACTATTGTGCTTACGTGTCTTTCAAGACACTCTCTATTCAGAACCCAAGTTGAGTTGTAACTTCTTCCCACTTCTTTATGAACCCTTGATGGTAACTGCTCCAACATGTTATCGACGCTGCCTATCAAGGACTCGAGACTAGTATATTTACTAAGTCTTTCATATCACATGGTTTAGTCGACTAATCCTCTTTATGGAATAAGGGCTTTTGTCGATTGTCCTTTTCGAGATTCTGGACATGTTTCCAGGTCTTGGGGATTTATCCCTGAGAGTCCTCTAAACCATGTCTCGCTGTTTCAACAGCTCGGTCGACCCATAATCATTGGTTTATTAGCGACTTATCACTAGCCTCTTAGTAAATGTCTTTTCATTGACATTCTTAGTTGACTTTCTAGTAGCTGAAAAATCCAAGTGTAATAGGTGCCCCCCAAAAAGTGTCACTATTGACCCGTATCTGAGGGGAGAAATATGGAATTGTTTGTAACTACTCTATCAATGTTTAAACTTTGTGCCACGTCACCTCAGTCATTCTTGTTGTCATTCATTATGACTAACTTTTCTACCAATGCACACGTCACGAATGTGCATGCATATTCAATGTGATTACCTCATAATTTATATGCCATGGCTTTTATATGCCATTTATCGAGTCAACCACCACGTGGCCGATCTTTTCTCGGACCAAAATTAAACCATTTCTTCATCTGCTATTTAAACATGTTCACTCAAACACTTTATTTTTTCCTTTTTCTACAACTTTCCTCACGGAACACCAAAACCCTAAATTTTCCTTCTTCCTTACACTCTTACTAAAAAAATCAATATCCTTCAATGGCGCTTCCATAACAATGCCATGTGGGCTTTGCAACCGAGATTGAGCTTCCTAGTATCATGGATGACCAAGCTTACGTACCGGAGCCTCCCTTGGAAACAAAATGCATTAAAACCTTGTATTGCTTTTCCTTTATCCTTTACGTGCTTGCTGGTAAGGTGAATGCATTTATGATCCCCATATCTAAATATATTAAGAAACCCCAACTGCTTCAGGATTATTTCCCTATATATTATGGGTATGAACCATTGGTGTTCATTGATGAACCTTTCAAGTTTAACTTCTTTAAAAACTGGATATTCTGTTCCTCTCCACCACTAGAGGATGTTGAGTATATTAAGTGGCTAGATAGGGTTGAGAGGCAGAAATCAAACTACGAGAAAGATTTAGGAATTTATGATCTAACCCATCTATCTAGGGTGAGTCTCTATTACAATCCTCATATTTTAATCGCTTTCATGTGTTTCTGAGATACATTCACAAACACTTTTGAACTACCCTGTGGGATGATAACTCCCACT